TACATAAATAATATCTATTTATTTCAAAATATAGTGTATTCTACTGTTTTTAGAATAAATTATGATAGAAATATTAGAGAGACCTGCAGTTTTCATTATTAAAGAGAGAAATGTACCCATTTTTCTCATAATTTAGACTTGTAATATGACAAAGATATAGAAAAAGGTATTTCTGGTATTCGACAATCAGTTTCTATCTAACGAAACCATCGACATCTTCGAAATATTGAGGTAACAATGTGAAACTAACTTGAACATCGTTGTTCAGGGCGATTCTAAGTTGATTAGCTGAAATCAGGAATCTCAAGAATCTTTTATAACTTCTGAATGGAAAAATGAAATTGCTTTTCATAAGCCTTTACCAAGAACTTGCTCGATTCTCCAACTGCGAACCAATTAAATGGCTTCGATTTCAATAATTTTTGAATGATGAAAACAGTAGATCTCTATCATATTTTAAAAAAACACTTGGTATCGCCAGTTTGCTTTTATCAATCGGACAGGTATTCTTTTGCTCGATAATATAGGACCCTGTTGAAGGAGCTTATACGCTGTTTAGCTTGATAAAATTTAAAGCATACTAATCAACTATTTAGTGCTAAGTCGCAAAAGTATCTATTTGGCAGTTTTCTCGTGAATAAAAACTTTAAAAATAGTCTAGTTATTGATGAATCACACTGTATATAAAGACAAATAACCTGTGTTAATAGTAAATGACATTGGAGAATATGGAGTAATAACTGCTGTTGATTCATTTTCTTCACGATCAATACCTAATAATTAACTGTAGTTTTTTTTAATAACTATTCATTGTATATAATGGAAATTTTGACAGTTCGAAAAATAACTCACCGTTTGAATCACTATTTATATCTTGAGAATCTAATTTGTAGAAATTAATTTTTAAACATCTATTTTTATCTTCAAACTGTAACTTTATTATACCTAATTGATTACCAATTGTATCAGTTTTTGTTTGTAAAGGTAAATTATGAGGATTTTTCCAGTTGATAAATCACTTAGACTTGATATATTTTTTCCTGTTTAAATAAATATTCAAAGAATTACTTTTTGAAAGTGTATCGAATACAATGGATGATAAAGTTTTTTTTTCTCTAATTGATATTTTTTTATATTGAAATAATGAAGTTGTTTCTTAAAACATCCTACCGTGCTTGAATAACACGTGTTTTATATATATCATCATATGGATGATCCCATGATGATTTTCCCATATTAAAATAAAAATCATATGATTCTTCATTTTCTTTTTGACACGCTATCCCACCTGATGGTGATGGTTTCATAACATCTTCTCTTGCCAACCAAAGAAGATCATTTTCCTATTAAAAATTATGCCTTTTTTTATCTTTTCTCTTAATATTTATTTACTTGGGGTTAATTCCAATATGTATAGCATATTCATGAATTTATTCATCAGTTGGCTCATCTTTTTCATCAATATATTCTTCTAAAATTGTTTGATTATTTAATTTATATCCTGAATATGCACTCCACATTACTTATTAAAACCCCAACGTTGTCAAAGGACACCAACAAGAAACATAAACATTTCGTTAGATGTCAGTCATATTCATATTAGGGTTTTTTTTCCTTATTTAATAAGACTTTATTTTTGTTTTACTTTGAATGACACATACAAGAATAAAATGTCTTTTGATCTTTTTTTTATTTTTAAAGAGTTATTCATATGATGTTTTAACTATGAGCAAAATGTTTGTCATTAGTGGCGGCGCCAGGGGTGGGCCAGGGTGGGCTCAGCCCACCCTGAAAGATTTTGAAAGCTATGTAAAAAGAACACTTTGTGTAGGTTAGGGTGGGCTCAACCCATGATGAGCCCACCCTGAACTGAAATCCTGGCGCCGCTACTATTTGTCATGTATACGAAACGTTTACCGAAAAGATCATCATCTATATCTTGTTGTTCACCTTCTTCCTCAACTGATCGACCATGAACAAAATCTTTTAAATAGGCTTTAAAAAAATTATTTTTTTTAGAATAAACTTTCTATTTATCAATAGGAAATGTTCTTTTTTTTTACCGTTTTTTGAATAATAAGTTATTAGAACAGAAATGTTGACAATATTGTATAAGATCATCTTCAGATTTATTAATTGTTGATAGAGCTACTCTTACGTTGGATCTACAAAAAATAATTTGAAAGATAAGAAAAGACGAAAAAAGACTGCGAATATGGGTGTCAGCAAAGAGAATATCAACTTCCACACACCTACACCCATACCCACACCCATTTTGAATTAGATTTTAAATGATAAAACAAATTAATTTTAGAAAAAATTCTTGAAAATTCT